AGGAGAGTCGAAAGGTTTGGGGTCATACGGGAGGTTTCACCCCCCCCACCCAAGCCTTGGCATGGCAGCTGCCACCTCCCACGACCCAGGCCAGATACGAAGCTTTTCCTCAGGGGGCCATGAGTGGTTCAATGGCTTCCCATTGTACTCAGAATCAAATCCGAGCATACTGCCATATGTTAGTCAGCCTGGAGGTCTGGCCTTTGCTGGCTTTTGGCTTGATTCTCCCCGATGTTCTTACTCCTTACGCACAGGCCAGTATGTGTGTGTGGATACATGTATATGTGGTGTGGGTGTGGATACATACATATGTGGTGAGTTGCAAGCACCTGCACATAGCTTGGAGTTTCCGGTTTTGTGCCCGCCTCAGCATGTTGTACTTGTCTCTCTGCCTGGAAAACCCTTTCCTTACTACTTTCTATGGCTGGCTTCTCATTATTCTTCAGCTCTTGGCTCAAATATTGCAACTTCAGGGAGATCTTCCCTGCACCCTCTCTAGGACATCACTGTTTACTCCTTAATAGCATCTATACATTATCCTGTATAAAATTAACTTGCTGATTTTCTTTTTCTCTCACTTTAATATAATCTCCGTGAAACTAGGAAACTTTTTTCTCTTGTTGGCAACTCTATTCCCAGCACCTAGAATAATAGCTAGCATGTCGTAGTAGTACAATAAACATTTGTTGAATCGATAAGCACAGGATACCTGTTGTAGGGTGAGCTCGGAGGCCACATCTCTGGATGTTGTTGGGGGACGGGCGGGCTGTGCACTGGGCAGTGAGTCGCCTGTTCACCTCGCCCCACACCATCACCCCCAATAGCAGGGGGCCGTGCCTTCCCATGGCCAGCCCTGAGAAACATAAACAGTTGTCACCCTGGCTCTGCCCTCGGCCAACCTGCTCAAATTTCCTGGTCCTAAGATGATCAAAGGCACTGGAACAAAGAATCATCATTGAATGGGTTCCGTGTTACATCCTGGAAATGGGGCACTTGCAGTGCAGACCCAATCCTGGGAGAGAGCTCTTGAGAGCTGCGAAGCTGCTACCTTCAAAGGGTCGACGTGAAAGCAAAGAAAGAAGCACTTGAGGAGAGAGGACTCCCTTCCAGGGAGGGGAAGCACTTCAAGTCCATTACTCCACCCCTGCAGCCACAGGGATGCACGCGTGCGTGCGTGCGTGCGTCCCACAGAGGAAACCTCTCCCACGAGCGCTGTGGCTCCAGAACTTTCAAATGCCCTTGCAAATGGTGTCTGCTCACCCCCTCCATCCAAAGTGACAGATAGAATTTTGTTTATATTGCCAATGCCTCCATATAATGCCCTGCTTCTCCAAAAAGCTCCTCTTGATTAACCCCTCCTGCTTTTTACTGTTCTTCTGAAATCCATCAATGCCTGTGTCATAGTTTAAAAATACAACTGCATTTAGGTAATTTGATAAATCATCTTCAGGCATTTTCATATGCATGTGCTCTGCTTCTCCATTCCATTTATAAGCTCCTTCCGGGCAAAATCTATACTTTTTTTTTCCCACTTCCATTTGTAACTCTCTCTCCACAAGAATCTTAGGACAGAATTCTTGTCTGTGTGCTTATTGTCTGAACATATTTTTATAGGCTGAGAATGCTAGGATGCTGATTCTCTTTTATTCATTAATTTATTTAAAATATTTACTGGGACCTATTATGTGGCAGGCACCGTGCTAAGTGCTGGGGACTCAATGTTGAAACTCAGTCTGGGGCAGAAATGGAAACATACACAAATAACTACAATGCAATGTGATAAGTGCTATAATATAGGTACTGTATAGTCAGAGTGCTGTGGGAACTCAGGAGGGAGCTTATAAAATCATTTGATTAATGTTCCAATGTCTAAATGTGAATGTTTAAATAACGCTGTTCCTAAGTGCTTCCTGCTTTTCACGGCATTTTTTATGTCCATTATCTTATTTGATGCTTTTAGTGATCCTGTTAATAAGCTTTCACTCCACAAATTCATCCTTACACAGAGTAGGTGTTCAAGACGTATCTACCGAGAGACAAAATAGGCAAATGGAGAGTGAATGTTGTTATCTATGCTTTCCCATTAGGTAAACCGAACATTCCAGAGTGGTGTGCTAAAGGTCATAAGAATCCCGGTAGTCTGTATAAATGCATGTTCAACACCTGCTATGTGTGGGTCACTGTCCACTGTGCTGCAGTAAGCACAAAGTGCAGAACATCTTCCTCCTTCATGAAGCTGCCAGTCTCACTGGTGAAACAAAACAAAAAACCACGGGTGGTCAAATGATGATGTAGGAGATACTTAGCAACTTGGGACAATAGTACAAGATGGTCCATAGATGATCCCAAATGAATGGTGTAGACCAGAGGGGCCACGGTAGGCAGGAAGGCAGATTACAGTGCTCCTGGAAGGCCTGATGAGAGATGGGAATGAACAGAATAGGCCGAAAAATCAGAACAGGAAAAAGAGAATACTCAAAGAAATATTCAAAGGCAATGAAGCCCAATGAGCCCAGAACACCATGACCAGATCTGGCGAGCAGGCAGCCCTCACTGGAGGGCCTGTCCCTCCCTCTCCACTCAGTCTCAGCTCATGGGCACCTGTGGATTCTCCTCACACAGCCCTGCACCTCCCACCTTTACCTGCCATCTGCTCCCCCACTATTGAACTTCCCCCCAGTCCTTTTACCTGTAACCCATCCACACCTACCGCATTATTCAAAAAAAAAAAAAAAAAATCCTGTATCTTCAACTTCGTCACCAATGCTCGATCTTCTGGCTCTAATAAAAACCTGATTCCTCCGAGATCATGGCCTTCTTTGCAGTTCTTTCAATGGAGGACTCTTGTTCTGCACTCACCCTGTATCATCTAGACAAGGGAGGGTGAGGGTCAACTTTCTGCTACTTCCCCATTTCTGTTTCTAGATCATTATTCTTCCTGTCATGGGAAATGCCTCAATATAGTTTGAGCCTCGTGTATCTGCTGAGACGTCTTTCCAGCTCTCTTAATTGTTGTTATATCTGTGTGTCCAGGTCACTTTGTAAGAAATTATGCAAAAAAATAATACTTCTGCTTAGAGATATGGTACCTATCTTTGGGGGTGTCTTCCATGCTTTTCTCTTGCTGATTGTGAAGTAATTTTGTAAAGATTTTTATTGTAATGGCTGCTACAGAGAAATGGAGCACCTTCATCATCACTTGTGGTTGCTTCTAACCATAAGATGTTTAGTCATTCTGAGAATTTAAAAAGCCACCACTGGTTCCCAGTCAGCATATATAGGCTCTTAATATACTGTTTATTATTAAACAATTCAATGTACTATTTTATATTGGAAAATATTTATTCTTAACATTGGCTTTCCAGTCATCAAGAGTCAACATAAAAATTCCAATTTTCAGTAATCTAGTGGAAAGTATCTTTCCCCCTCCACCCCCCAATTTTAAAGGCTTCTTATTCTCTACACTTGTATATTATCAGTGAAAGGGATCAACAGCTAACTTGGGGCAAGTAATAAGGGTAATTTTGCATTTGTCACTAAGACAGTTTATGGTATACGTGACTACACAGAATACAAAATAACGTCTTCATTTTACCTGTTTATATAAGATACAGAGCCACACTAAACTACTCAATGGGATTCATCTATTCCATTCACTTAAAACAATAAACAATAACGTATTCAAGGAAAAAAAATGCTTTTCTTTGGCCATGCTTTTCCTTGACCTTCTGGTGTAGGTCCAGAAACTGTCTTTACATTTTATGGTCCTGATTCCTTATCCACAGGTGAGAGGACCAACATACATTCATGGTCGGACAGGGACAATCTGATTGTCTCCTCCAGGAGTTGAGAAAAAAGGACCAAGAGACTAGTTTTAGTCTGAGCTAATTCTGTGAACAGAGAAATAGTAAACTGGTGAGCTGGGGTGTCAGTAAACTTACAGCCATGTTTAGCCATGTGCCTGTGAAGCAGGAAAAGCCAATCTAAAAGAAGGTAGAGAAGAATATGCAGATGTATAGAGAGAGGTGAGGCCAGACATCAGAGGGAGTCTTGCCTGGGCACTTGACAGCATTCCAGTCCATCCTGAGGCTCAGCTGCTCTTTCTCCTCAATGTCCTCAAGACGTCCCCATGTCCTTGGAATAAAGCCCACCACCTCCCGAGGTTAAGCACTTTTGTTTCAAATTTTGTGTGTTTGACTTTGATTCCCACAACTAGAACTACTTTGCTAAAAATAGAATCAGTGGTCAATGGAGCTAGTTGTCACCAAGTTGAAGTTTGCAAAGATAGAAATGACCCAGTTAAGACAACAAAGCACTCTTTGCTCTCATCTTACCTGTATGTTGGGAAGCACCATCATTAAGAACGAAGAGTTGACACTCGGGGTCTTGGCAAGATGGTAAATCATTATAACCCAAAAATCTTTCCACTAGAAGCGGCTATAAATGTCTCATATTTAAAATTTTTTTAATGTTTATTTATATTTGAGAGAGAGAGGGAGAGAGAGTGAGCAGAGAAAGGGAGAGAGATGGAGACAGAATCTGAAGCAGGCTCCAGGTTCGGAGCTGTCAACACAGAGCCTGAGGCGGGACTCAAATCCATGAAGCACGAGATCATGACCTGAGCCAAAGTCGGACGCTTAGCCGACTAAGACACCCAGACGCCCTTATATGTTTCATATTTTAAAAGAATCATATAAATGCACAAGTAAACTTTCAAGGGAAAAAAAAGGAAAACATAAAAGGGGAAGATAAGAACTAGGGTATTCAGAGGAAAACACGGGGATATGGTCTACTATGAGTGGGAATCAGCAAACACCACCAATAGGCCAATTTGGGCATCAGAAACTTGACATAATAGGCAAGCAATCTGGAAGATAATGTACAATAAGTCTGTTTAAAATGAATAAAAAAACTTTAAAGGTAGTAGAGATTCTAATACACACATAAAGCACTATGAACAAAAAAACATGCAGGTTTTTGCACGAACCATATAGAAATGAGAAATAAAGCCTTTGTGAGGAAAAGCTCAATGGAAATGTGTTGGAAATAGGAGAAAAGACAATAGGTGAATTGGAAAATGGATCAGGAGACTTTATTTATTTATTTATTTATTCACTCGTTCATTCATTCATTCATTCATTCATTCATTCAATGTTTATTTGTTTCTGAGAGAGAGACAGAGTGTGAGCAGGGGAGGAGCAAAGAGAGAAGGAGACACAGAATCTGAAGCAGGCTCCAGGCTCTGAACTGTCAGCACAGAGTCTGACGCGGGGTTCCAACTCACACTGTGAGATCATGACCTGAGCTGAAGCTGGATGCTTAACCGACTGAGCTACCCAGGCGCCCCTGGGAGACTTTAATCAGAATATGATGTGAGGAAAAGATAAAAATATGAAAAATGTAGAGGGGCTGGAAGGATAAACCCACAGCAAATGCCTAGTAGGCATTCCAGAAGGAAAGTACTGACAGAATGAAAAGACAAAAGTTGTCCAGAACTGATGACAAACTTGATTAATTACATTAAAAAGGCATCATGGTCAAACAGAATAATTAAAAATAAATCCATCACTAAACACTTCACAGTGAAACTGCTGAATGCAGACGTCAAAGAGAAGAGAGTTTACTACGGAGAAGCAGGTTATTTGGACAGCCGACTCCACAACAGCAGTATTTCAGCCGGAAGGTGATGGAAGGTGTTTGAAAGTTTAACGGAAGGAAAGTCATTGCCAGTGCCAAACTCCATCCTGATCCGAACTACTGTTCAGAAGTGAAGGATAAATAAAGATATATCCAGAAAGGTAGAAATTAAAAGATTTTGTAACCCACAGAACCCTCCTGAGAGAAAGATTATAGAGAGGAATTGAAACCGGAAGGAGAAAGTAAGACACAAAAAGTGATGGTGGATAAAAGAAGGGGTGAATATGTGGCTAAAGATGCAGAAACAGATTATATAAAATAACAATAACGAAAATACCTGATTTGGGGTTTATACAAACAAGGTGGAGAGTAAAATAGTGCACTATAATATCAAGTAAATATATATATCAAGTAAATATATAATATCAAGTAAAACAGTTGGGGCATAATAGTTGGGAGCTAAAATGATTAAACTTTCCTGTTTTGTTCAGGAAAAAGGTAGAAATATTGATTAACTTTAGATTTTTCAAGTCAGCAGGTACGTTAAAAATTTAGAGCTAACCACACTCATGTAAAAAAGAAATAGAATGCATATAAGAAGGAAATTAAAAAGAAATGCAATCAATCAAATGGAAAACAGGAGAAAGCAAGAAAGTCTGGGGAAGGACAAAACAATGAAAAGTACAATTAAATCTAAATATCAGGAAGCACAATAAATATTCTCCACGTAATGCTGTTTATGTACCCTATAATAAAGCCTGGGACTGTCTCAGGTAAGCAAGGATATATCGTCAGCATTGTCAAAGCATATAAAGAAGGGAAATTTATATTCAAAAAACATATAAAAGCAAAGGTGCTTATCCTCACTAGTAATGAGGAAATACAAACTTTAAAAAGTCAGATGTTACTTGACATCTACTCAATTTACAAAAATAAGTGGTGAGGGATGAAGGAACTTTTCACATTCCTAGGGGAGTATAGATTGAAATTAACTGGGCAGTACACCTAGGGAAGTGAAATATGAACCTGCAATCTAGTAACTTCCACTGTGGCTATGAAGGAGTAAGAGAGTCCAGACTTGGCTTCCCAGGGTCAGCACCTGAGACTGGACCAGATAGGTGAAGCATTTCCCTGACCTTGAGCAAAAGGTCCCTGAGGGAACAAGAACAAAACAAGAGGACCCTATGATCACCCTGGCCTTCTGTGCTGAAGCAGTTTCTGGGCAGTGGGGAGGAGAGTCAAAACAGCCTGATAGCCTCGCTGATTTCATCAGAGTCTGGTGAAATTGGGGTGGCAAGAGTTTGTGGGGCTGAATACCAGAGAGAGAAAGCCATGCAGGGAAAGAGCTCCAGAAATCAGCCCAGGGATTCCTTGGGGTTGTTAGCTGCAAACCACCCCTCATGTGTACAGGGTGAAATTCTACAAGACTGGAAAAAGGACACCTCCTGGGGAAAGAGCACTTCCTAAGGACTGTCAGTCAAGGACAACTTACAGAGCTTGTACAAGGCCAGGCGCCATCAGAGTGCCAACCCGTCAGAATGGAGAGACTTTGTTGTGGACACAAAAAATATAGTAGAGACACTGAAAAGGGTCATGTTTTACTAGGTGGATAAACTGAGTCTATAGGAGGTTCCTCTAGATCTGGTCTTTAAGAATCTCAAAAAAACAAGTCTTGAAGAGATCAAACTGATTCACAAGTAACTTTATTGCCTGCCAAAATAAAGATCAATATTTGTTTATTTCTTCATTTATTTATGAGAGAGTGCATGTGTGTGTACGTGAGTGGGGGAGGGGCAGAGAGAGAGAGGGAGTGAGAACCCTGCGATCACCACCTGAGCTGAAATCAAAAGTCGGGTGCTCAACCCACGGAGCCATCCAGGTGCCCCAAGACCAATATTTTTAAAGGAATGTAACAAAATCTAGCACCCAACAATGTACAGTTCGCCATTTCCAGTTGAAAACTGGTAGATGTGAGAAGAAATGTGAGCACGTAGCCCATAAATGAAAGGAGGAAAGAAAAATGAGTCAAGGGAAACAGACCCAAAAGAAAAATGACAACAGACAGAAACAGACTCACCTAAAGAAGTAGAAAGTGCTGGAAATAGCAAATATGGAGGTAAGGATAAATTATTTTTGTACTCATTTAATTTATTTTAAAGATTATTGGTTATTTACAGAAAATAGTAGTTTATTTTGAGATTTATAACATGTCAAAGTAAAATGTATAACAACAAAAGCACAAAGAATGGGAGGAGAGAAACAAGATTCTTGTATAAGAGCTCAAGATTCGAGATCATTACTTACATGTGAAATAGTGTCACAGCACTGTAGGTAGATGGTGACAAGCCAAAGATGTGTGCTGGAAACCATGATGCAAACATGAAAAATAAGACAAAGAAATACAGCTAATACCTACTCCACTACAGGAGATAAAAAGGGAACCATTAAAATCACTGAACCAATGGGGCACCTGGGTGGCCCAGTCGGTTAAATGTCCAGCTTTGGCTTAGGTCATGATCTCATGGCCCATGGGTTCAAGCCCTACTTCAGGCTCTGTGCTGACAGCTCAGAACCTGGAGCCTACTTTGCATTCTGTTTCTCCCTCTCTCTCTGCCCTTCCCCTGCTCTGTCTCTGTCTCTGTCTCACTCAAAAAGAAATAAATATTAAAAAAAATTTTTTTTAAAGTACTGAAACAAAAATTAAAACTTTAAGAAAGGTTCAACTGGTGGAAGAAATAACAAAAAAGAGATGGAACACATTGAAAACAAAAGGCAATAGGGTGAACTTAAACCATATAAATATATATATTAAAAATAAATGGTTTAAACATACAATTTCATTCATATGTGGAATTTAAGAAACAAAACAAATGAACAAACAAAAAAAAAGAGACAAACGGAACTCTTAACTACAGAGAACAAACTGGTGGTTTCCAGAAGGGAGGTGGGTGGGGGATGGGTGAAATAGGTGATGGGGATTAAGAGCACACTTACCGTGATGTCCCCTGAGTAATGCACAGAACTGTCACATCACTATATTCTACATGTG